TTCGAATTCGACACCTCAAAAACCTCCTATTACCAAGTTTCGTTTAATTAAGTTCAGTATTTCAAAAGTTATTTGAAAAAAACGAAAATAAAAATAAAACTTCAACATCCTGTATCTTGGAAACGAAGCGTTTCCGGACATTTATTCATTCGGACAATTCATATTAGAATATTGTGAGGAATCACCTCCTGAAGTTTGTCAAAGTACTTTTGAATCACCCTGTATACTACAGGTAACCATAATTGAGACTCCCTCCAAAAAATTACCTAAACCTCTATATAACGTACCTGTTCAATTATGATCACCTGATCGGTTCAACAAATTACCTAATGCAATTAAAAATAGCCCGTCTCTGAACATGTTCAAAAATGAACTGAAGAAATTTGTTTTAAATGTACAAATATGATATGTATTATGTCTTCGTTACCTGTAGCTGTAATTTGTATAATTCCATTCGTCTAATGTTCGTTATATATTTCAAAGAATTATGTAATTTATCTTTCTACATGTTACATTGAAATTTTTCGAATGTATAATGCTGCTGTTTTTGTAGTAATGTCTTTAAAAATATTTTATTGAACTTATGTTTGTCATATATTTAAGTCAGTTCTATATGTAACACATACCTTTTTTTTATTTCTACCATTCTAGTTGATTTGTATATTATTAGGATATCCTATTTAAATAAAGATCTATGTATCTATCTATCTATATCTTCTAGAAGATGATTTGAATATGTTGAATTTGTTTTCTTATTTACATAGTTCGTTATGATGTTCCTAGATTCGATTCTCAAATTTTCTGCCAGTTTGACCAATATATACCTCAGGACACGTTCCACACTTCAATTTATATACTTCTGATTTCTCGAATTTGGATGTTTGGTCTTTATTATTTTTAACTAACTTTGCTAACGTATTACTTGTTCTATATGCAATTTTAATATCTCGTTTCCTCAAAAATGAAGTCACTTTTTCCGTTGGTTGTCCAAAATACGTTAAAGCTCTATAATTTCAATTACCTACCTTACCAATAGGAAAAACGTCTCGAATCGCTTTTGCGTAGACTCTCTTGGCAAGTACTTTGTTAATTAATTCGGCTTCAACCCCATTGTAACCGCAATTTGCTTGATGATATTGAGTTCTTTATTGAAATTATCTATTGAGAGAGGAACGTTGACTAATCTGTGAATCATGCTATTATAAGCTGCTACTTTGTGTTGATAAGAATGGGTAGAATCGTAATGTATAGTAATATCGGTATAGGACGGTTTGTGATGAATTAAAAATGTATGTTTGTTGTTCCTTCTACTAATTGTTGAGTCCAACAAATTGATTGAGTTGTCCACTTCTATTCCATAGTGAATTTAATGTTTTCATGAATTTTGTTAATATCCCTATGAAAAGTATCTAAATGCCCCTTAGTACCTGTAAAACCTACCAAAACGTCATCCACATATCTATGCCAATACAAGAAATTCTTGGCCTTTCTAATGGTGCCTGAATTATATTTACTCATACAATTGCACAAACAGAGTTATCCAATTACACCAGTGGTTTCCTTTGTCACTGCACTATCAGTGAAATTATCAGAAAGGCAATCAATATCATCTTGAACCATTGTAACTTTCAACCAAAATTCAGTCTACGGAATTCAAATGACTTAATCAATAAAATAGAAAACATACCTCTACCAGACCACGCAAAATTACTATCCTCTGATGTGCAGAATCTATTTCCTAGCATACCTTTTGATGATAGTATTACTTTAGTAATATAATTATTAGATGAAAATAGAGTGAACCCAGTCATAAAACGAGAAATAATTGACCTTCTGTCGTTGTGTCTCTAACAAAATTATTTTCAATTCAACAACAATATTTATTCTTCTTCAAAAGGTTTGATTATGGGAAATCCATTAAGCCCCTTACTTGCAGAAATTTTCATGGATAATCTAGAGATGTCCATTTTTAAACATCCTTTGATTAAGAATTTCTTGTATTGGCATACACAAAAAGTAGCTTCATTTTTGAGGAAACAAGATATTAAAATTGCATATAGAACAAGTAATACGTTGGCAAAGTTAGTTAAAAATAATAAAGAACAAACATCCAAATTCGAGAAATCAGAAGTATATAAATTAAAGTGTGGAACGTGTCCTAAGATATATATTGGTCAAACTGGCAGAACATTTAGATATCGAATCCAGGAACATCATACGAGCTATGTAAATAAGAAAACAAATTCAACATATTCAAATCATCTTCTAGAAGGAAATCATATCTTTAACGAAGAGTTCGAAATTTTGCACATAGAAAATAAAGGTTTGAAACTGAATCATTTAAAAGCAACGGAAATTAAAAAACTTAATAATTCAAACA